GGCCCCGGCCCCGGGCAGCAGCTCTCCCACCACCGAAGGTCGCCGCTGCCGGCTTCAGCGTTGGCACAGCCCTGCCCGCAGGCTGCGACGTGCTGCCCCAACGTGCTGTGCCGGCACCGGGCAATGCCACCGCGGCCAGGGACCCTGCCGTGCCACCGCCTAGGAGCAGCTGCCCAGGGAAAGGGGAGGATGCTGGAGGAGGGCTGATCCCTGGGTTATCCCCTCCAGCTCTCTGGGCAGAGGCCATGTCCACAGCCTTTGTGCTCGGGGGGCTTAAACCTCCCTGGCCACCTCCTTGCCCTATATGCCCAGCTCTGGCAGCTCACCCAAACCTGCTCGAGCCCCCTTTCCTGTGGTGCTCCCCGTCCCCCTCCATCTCACCATTTCCTCAGGCTGGAGGGTCTGTGATGACTACTCAGAGCGGGTTTTGGGCCAGGGGTGTTTGCCCTGGAGCCTGGGATGACCCATGGGATCGGGGAGCTGCACCCGAGGGTGACCCTGGTGCAGCCTCAGGCTGGTGGGGGGAGATGAGGGCCTGCAAAAGGGGTGCGGATGGTACAAGGAAGGAGCCTCACGCTGCCTTGAAGGGGCCGATGGAGAAGTGGTTCAAGCTGTGAGAGCTGGAGCCCAGCTACGGGATTCCTGACTGGGTTGGCCATGAGCAGGTCTAGGAGGAATGGAGGGTCCTAGGGCAGCATGGCTGTGTGGGAGGAGAGGGCCTGGCCAGCACTGGGTCGAGGCTGAGCAGGGCCAGAGGATGAGCATCCCGTCCCTGTGCACCCACGGGTGCTGGACAGCCGGGGTTTGCAGCAGGCGGCAGGAAGGAAGTGGTTGATGCTGAACGGTTGCTTCACTCACCGTCCTGGTGCTGCAGGGAGTGGAGGGCTGGGTATGGGCCCGCAGAGCCCTGGGGGTAGCCGTGCACCATGACGGCATTTGTGCTGCTGAGCCTCATGCACTGAGGGACAAGGATAGGACAGCCCCGGCTGGGGAGGCAGAGGCCTCATCCCAGTGGTGCTGGTCTGGAGTGGTGCAGCTGGCCTGAACTCATGGCTCCCTGCAGCTCCCTGTGCCGTGGGGTGGCCGAGGCTGCTCTTGCTCTGGGCTCCAGCCCCATGTCCCTCTGGCAGCAGTGCCCAGCTGGTGGGGCTTGCAGTGCCGCAGCATCACCTGGGGCCAGCAGCCCAATAGTGCCCCATGGGCAGGGCCAGTGACCCACCCAAGCCCGGGCTCCCAGGATGGTGGCGTGGTGGGATCCTGGGGGCTCTGTCCCCTCCACCCCTGCCCCGGCATGTGGGGGGGTGCAGGGCGGTTGGGTGGGTCCCTGCAGCGCCTGGCTGCGCGTTGAGGAAGCGGAGGTTTGCACAAGCCGGTGAGATACACGTGACCTGGGGAGAACGGCAGGAGGAACCAGCAGCCGCCCCACGCAGGGCCCTGGTCCCTGCGGCACAGCCAGCCATGGCCCCGTGGCTGCCCACCAAGGAGGAGAAGTATGGCGTGGGTGAGTGCAGGCTTCGGGACTGAGTGGGAGCAGGACCCTGCTGGGCTCCCTGGCTTGGCAGAGGGATGCAGGGCTCGTGGGACAGGGCACTCGTGGCCAGGGTGACACTGCTGTTGCCCCCTGGCTGTGGTGGCCCTGTGGGCTGTAGAGGGCGGGCGATGGTGTAGGTCTGCAGGGTGAACGCTGCCGGCGGTGCTGGGCTAGGTGGGTCTGGTGGCGATGCTCAGCGGTGCGAGTTGGGGGCTGGGTCCCCATGATGTCAGCACTGGGTGCGCTGGGGTATGGAGGAATTAGTGGGGGGTGGGCTGGTGATGGGATGGCCCAGGGGATCAGGGCTGAGCAGGGCAGTTGTCAGTGAGACCCGCACGTCCTGAGCTGAGCGTGGCTGATGCTGGGTGGGGATGAGGAGCTGTGGGACTGAGCGGAGCTGGGGGCAGAGCACTGGGGCAGGGGCAGGGGCTGGGGCTGAGCATTTCTGACGCTTGACACAGGATCCCCCCTACTCTGAGGTGGGGGTTTAGGCTCAGCCTGGCTGTTGAAGCGCGGAATCCTCCACCCAAGGGGTGGTTAGCTTGCTAACAGGGATCATTAGCTCATGTATGACCTGCTCTCAGGGGGGTGCCTGGTGAGTCCAGAGCCACCCCTGTAATTTGCCCTCTGGTGCTGCCTGGGGCTTTGCTCCCAGCCTTTGCGTTGGTCACAGCAAAACCCTGGGCAGCCCCGTTCCCTGCCCCAGCCCCCAGCTCAGGCTCCCCATGCCAACCCCAGTCCCCGTGCAAGCACACGCTTCCCGTGCTGGCGCTCGCAGCCCTGCGCCTCTTCCCGTTTCTGGCTGGGGCCGTTTCCCGCGTCCCCCCCTTGCGCTGCCGGTAGCACCCAGAGCAAGGGCTGAGCCCTCGCGGGGTCCTGGGCAGCACTGGGAGCTGGGTCTCATCTCGGTTCCTGTGTATGCTTGATGGGCACTAACCATCCTGTGAGGAAGCCTGGCCTGGCTGGGGCCTGGAGGGGTGGGAAGGGGCTGGAGGGGAGTGAGCCTGGACCTGGGCCAGGAGCTGCTCCAGGCTGGGTCAGGGTCCTTGTGTGGAGGGCAGGGTGGCAGGAGGAGTCCTGAGGGACCTCAGGGCTCCTGGTGCTGCAGGGTCTGCCAGGGCCAGCATGGGGGGTCCCGATGAGTGGTGCAGGTCTGGGGATGTCGCAGTATGAGCTGGCCCTGCCCGTGGCTGGTGGGGGGCATGGGCAGCATCCCAGCAGGGACCCCCCGGGTGCAGGCATGTCTGCAGAGGACTGTCTCCTGGTGCAGAGTGCAGCCGGTCCTGGGGCCACGCCAGGGCTGCCTCCACCAGACAGAGCTGTCACTGTCCCCAGGACCAGAAATAGCGTCAGGACTAACCGCAGCCCGTCCCGGTGCAGCCCACGCTGCAGCAGGAAGTCTCTGGCCACCAGCGAGCTCCTGCGCTCCCACTGCCCCTGTCACCCTGCTGCCCTTGTTGCCCCGTTCCCCCCACTGCCAGCACCCGCTGTCCCCGGGGACTGGCCTGCGTGCCCCCGAGCTGCCAGCCCCGGGTGGGCAGCGCTGCTGCTCCAGGCAGGATCTTGGCTGGCACTTGCCTCCCCGGGCTACTTGTGGTGGGAGCACGACCACTGGACTCAGCACTCACTAGGGCCCATGCGGCTGGGCTGGGTTGTGGGTGGCAGGCAGTGTGATGGGGACAATGCCAGGCAGGGGACCCCCATGTGCTGGAGTAGGGGTAGCTGACGACTCCTGCTGTGCCTAGCGCCATGCAGGCTGGGCTGTGACTCTCCTGGGGTCTGGGGTCCCCTTCCCACCCCTGCTCCGCTGTGACCAGCGCTGCTCTGCCTCGCACCGCACCTCCTCAGAGGTCTCACGCCGTTTGTGTGGGGCTGGGACCTTACGCTGTCTCCTGGGGACAAGCAATGCTGGTTGAGGTTGCTCTGCCCCATGTGGGGAGGCCAGCAGTGGGGCATACTGCCCCAAAAGGGCACGGGTACATGGGGCCCTAGGGATACTGTACTGGGTGAGGGGGGGGTCCAGGTGAGGGACCCCTGCTCACAGCTCCTGGCTCCTCTCCCCGCAGCTGTGTGGAACTTCCCGCGCACCAGCGAGCATCACCTCCCGCTGCAGATCGGGGAGACGGTGCACATCCTGCAAGCCTCCGAGGGTAAGGGGGTCTGGCAGCCCTGGCCAAGCCCCGTGCCGTCCCCTGACATCCCCTGCTGGGCTGGTACTGGGGTGCACTCTGACACGGGTCTTCCTCCACCCTCTCTTGGCTGTGCTGCTGGTGGGCATCCATCCCCAAACCCAGCTGACGGCACCCCCTTCCCTCCCCTTGCAGGCTGGTACCGCGGGTACTCGCTCAGGAACAGGGCTGCCCGGGTAGGTGAGGGGCTGCTGGGGGGGCCGGGGCATGGAGGGGGGTGCGAGCGTGGTCGGT